TTTTCAACACTGCCCATGGGCTATCGAACGTCGTGGTGCCCATTCAGCTTTGGCAATGGTGTTGCCAAGGAATAATGTCAGGGAAGATTTATATGTAAAATTGGTTTCGACAGATGATGGTTAATTTTGCTTGAGAATTGGCTTTGGCATCTATGAAAAATTTTTAATAATTAATCTGATAATTATATATATAATATGTATAATACGTACAAAATTGATTGATGATTTGATAATTAACGTATTTTTGGATAATGGATGAATGTATTTATATTATCTAATTGTAAATTAAAAGACTTTCTCTATAAAGTTATTTCACTGTTAAGTAAATTATTGTAAAGCATATAATATATTTACTCAAATAATTGATTTTCTATAAACGATATTTTTAATTTTGAAAGTAAATCTAATAATTAAATTCTATTTCTGCAATATGTTTATTGTATCGATTGAAAAAAAAAAAAAAAAGAAGAAGAGTAAAATTTTCTGGTAATTAGATAAATAGACGGAACAAACGAGGCAAAGGAAAAAAGAAACAATGCGTATATTATTCTGCAGTATACCCTTCTGGTTAAATATAGCATCATATTTCGATATCACAATTTCACCGGGGGGTGTTTTCCCCGGTGCTGCCCTTGAGAATTTAAAGAAACTGGGATAAACGGCACCCCACGTTGCGCCTATTGCACAGCCCGGATTCAAACCTCGATGATTGAAGGCATAAAGGAAGACAAACAACGAATTCTTGGGGGAGCAGGTGAAATAACTGCTCCTCTTAAACTCACATTCGATTGTTATAATTGGTAAAAATTTTAGTAATACTTTTTTCAAACATATTTTAAAATTAAATTATATTTATATCAAAATACATTAAAATTAGTTTGAATCATTTTCAAAATATTTAAAAATTATAAATTATAAACAATTTTTTAAAAGTTGAAACTTCCATAGAATTAAACTTTTGATAATGTCAAAAACTATTCTATTGTTGTTTAAAAAGTTGAAACAATCAAGAAAGACAACGAACGAAATAAATTTGTGAATCTAATGCACTGACCCTTCCATGTATCTTCGAAGAGACCACGTGGAAGAATGACAAGAAAATACGAGTTCTTCTCGCGCAAAGAAGAAACAAGAGGGCAGTAAGAAGGGGTTCCGCGCTGGGGGGATGGCCGATACAAGTGGGACATTCAAGAAAGGGGTTAGGTCCCATACGGTGACAACGGCAAAACTCGAAACGACGTCGTCGGACTTGGCTTCCGGCCATTTCCTAGCTATCGATCCACGAAGCGTTACGACGAAGCGCCCTACGTGCAATTATAGGTGTATCGTGTGTATAATACGACCCTGGTACGTGCATAGCCGGGGGATAGATCGTCGGCATACAAGGACGATCTCCGAAATTTGGCCGCGACATCGAAATCGCGAATTCTTCGATAGCCGCTTGAGAAACGCGCTGAGGACAGTTGTACTGTTGCTTAAAATTGTTCCGCCTAGGAGAATTTCAAAAACGGGTCAAATTTCATATAGTAAACATTATAGCAGAATATACTTATTACATATGTTACATATATTATATATTGACAATAATAAAATTATATAATTTATATAATAAATTTGTAAAATATTTATATTTTATTTTGGTTAAGTTTAGACACGATTTAACATAAGAAAAAATGAAATTTGAATTTAAATTAATATTATTCGTTAAAATTAAGTTGTTAAGAAAATTTCGAGATTCATATAATTTGAAATATTATTATTTATTTTATTATTTGAATAAACGCATTCGGATTGAACAAATATAAATATTTATATTGAATAATTTTTCATAAAATAAGTTAACAAAATATAAAATTATTATTGTAATAATTATTTCTAATATATTTTGAGTGAAGTGGCATGTAAGAAAGACACAGTTCACCCACCCTATGAATGCAACACAACGATGCGTTTCCACGTATACGTGGAATCGATAACTGGGAATTAGTCTGACAGGCTGTCTGCCAGAACCAAGTATGTACTTACATACATCTACGCAAAAAAACCTTGCCAATCATGTTAAAATAATTATATCATGCAAGTAATTAAATTAAATATAATTAAGGCACACTTACTGAATGAAAATTATTATTAGATTAATATTATTTTTTAATTTTTCCTTTTATACTAAGTTTAATAATAAAGTACTCTATTCGAATAACCTAAGTGACAAGAAGTTTTTATTTAAAAAATCGATAATGTCGTTATTTTCAGTTTTGATATTATCGACTGTTTTAAATAAATTTCCGAAAAAATTTTCGAATCAAGATTAAAATTCTTATTAACTTGTAAATTTTATTTTTTAATTTTAATATACAGACTATTAAAATTGAGATCCTTATCTAAAGTATTGACCTATAAATTAAAAAATGTATATTTTAGATTACAATTATACATTATGTTATATTTAAAATAATATGCTAAAATAATAAATATGTTAAATAACTAATATGAAAATTAATATTTTTTAACATACTTTTAAAAAAAATTCAAAAACTTAAAGTTTCGATTAAAATTCAACAAATTTCGATCAATAGTTTCATAACAGAAAATGAAGATATAAATCCGGAACAAATAAACGATTTTAAAATTAGGTTATCATAACCAGTTCATTCGTGAAAGTTTATTTTTCTATTTTTCTTCGATTCCACATAAACATCATTATTCGTATCACTCTGAAATATGTAGGAAAAAAATGTCAGCCGACAGAAAGACAAACTACAGAACAAATGAAAATATATTCGCACAAACTGGGCCGTGAAAGCTAACATAGAACCGAGATAAATAGAGGATCGCCGTAGTCGGTACCGAGGATCAATATGTCACAACCACAATACAAATACAGAAGACATACATATACATAATCGATAGATATGTACATTGTTACACTATATCGATTATTTTTCGATTATCGATTATAAAAAAATACTATATTCAGAACGATAAAAGTAATTTAAATATTATTTGCAATTTATACATAATTTGTAATTTTTATCTTTTTTTAACTTTGAAAGATGAAATATGTGTATCTTTTTGCTTGAAATAAAATTAATAATATAATAAAATTTGTTAGTTCACATTTATTTATTATTGAAATCATATATCGAAATTTATAAGCAAATAAGTACTTCAAAACATTATATATAAAAAACAATAACAATTTTTGCATTTTATTACCGTTATTAAAAATTAAATATTTATTTATTTCTTCTTTTTGTTATATGCAATTTTGCAATTTTTTTTTAAAATTTATCATTACAAGAAAAGCCAACATTTGTCGCTTTCGATATTATCGACCGATTTTACCACGTGAGTGGCGCTGCAGTCAATGTGTTAAATAATATTTTTTCACATGAATATTCTATCTAAATATTGGGAGATTTTTAATGATAGAAAATTGATATTATCATTAAAAAATTGTATTATAATTTTTTAAAGTCATAATTAATTCAATAATTTGATTTAATTCAATTTAATTCAATTCAATATCAAACGATATTGAGAACAAAATCATAAAACGCACTTCACAATACTCTACAAGCAATATCCAATATTCTTATAATAATAAAATATGAAAAGGCACTTGATAACCAAATTATGTGAATACTTTAACACACTATAAATTAACACTTTTTTTCGATCGAGTTAGTCTTCTCAAATCTTAATATCTTAATTAGATATAAATATTTAATTTGAATTTACTATCCTATAATTATTTCGAAATACGAATTCAAATACACAATATAAAAATTATTAAACACATAAATTTTTGTTTACATTATTCATAGAGAATTATAAAAAATCATTAAATGAATTTTTTAGTCAAAATCTTATTACGAAATTTTTAAATATTAATTCGATAAAAAATGAATAGTTTAAAGTAATAGCACCATATTAAGGAAAAGTTATTATAAAGTGTAATATAAATATAAATCGTTTGGTATATATTATAATAGAGATTTCACGGTATTAAAAATACCTTCTCTTAACTGGCCTACATACATTCGATCGCGAATGTTAAAAAACGCGTAGAATTATAAATAATATTTTACAAAATTTGATATTTTCCTACACTTCTCTTACTTTTTTTTTTCTTTAAACTCTTATCCATGATAATGAATCATTATGATATTGCATTTTATGTAGGAATACCACTTATTAAGATATGATTCAAATAAAATTATCGATTTCAATTGAAGAAATCTTCTACCTCTGCTAGTTCTCTTGCTCGGGCTTGTTGATGTGCCCAACGTTCTTCCGCAAGTTTATCGCTTACTCCCCATTTTTCGTGATAAATACGTTGTCCACAAGTTGGACATTTTTTACCCCCTATAATAAAATATAAAATATTATTTATAATATGAAAATAAAAATGAAAGTTAATTATAACAATAATAGTTACCATGGAATGGAGGAGTTTTCATGAATGTTACAAGACATTGTAAATGAAACAAATGTCCACAATAAAGTCTTTCTACATGCATATTTGCAGTTTCGTTTATTTCTGCATTTTCTGGATTGGCTGGCAAACATATTTGTCTGCATGATTGACAACGTTCTTGTGGTAATGTTTTTACACACCTGGATAATAAAATTCAATCAGAATAATAATAATATTAATATATTATAAATATTAATGAATAAACATACTTTATAAGGAAAGTAGTAACAACTTTTAAGGATGGTGAAGGTGTAAAAGGTATTTGTTGTTTTTTATTAAGTGGTGGTTCTACACATTGTCTAGCTAATTCTTTTCCTTGACCAATGAAGTGACGTGTAAACAATGGAGGAAAATTTGTATCCGCATCTTCCAATCTAAATATTTTAAAAAAATTATTCAAAGAAATGTACTTTTATTTAATTATTATTTAAATTATTTAATTATTATTAAAATTAATATTTTAAATCATTATCAATGACACACACTTTACGCAAGCAATTGGATAATTATCTGGTACTTCAATTTTAGCCTTGAAATAATATAATCCTTGCTGAACTTTCAAACCAATACAAGAATGTTTTTGTTTCAATTTTAATTCATCACTATTTTCTAAAATATTTTTTATGGCTGAGATTTCATCATAGCAACAAATTAATGGATTTTCATCAATAAAGTTACGAATGAATTTTAATATTGGCAACACCTATGAAAATAAATTCATATAGATTCACATTGTTTCAATTAGTAAATTCAATTATTTACCTGAGCTTTTCCTAATAATTTTTTGCATTCCTTTTCACAGACTTCTGTTAAACCATCAAGCAATTTCACAGATAGAGTTTTGCTTTTCAATTCAATTAATAATGGAGTATAGGGATAGTCTTTAGAAAATTGGATGCACGCAACAATTGTTTTGAACTTTGTTTTTCTGTGGTTTTAATAAATATTATAAATAAGTTAAAAAATTTACAACATTATCTATAAATTATATTATAGACATAATTTAAAAAAATTAAACATACGTTATTTCCACTCGCACCATCGTGCGTACACAAGAAACGAGGCGACTACCATCAACAACATTTTGACAAAGTTTTGATATTTCTTGTAATTCATCATCGATAAAGCCCATGAGAAAAATGAAACAAATATTGTTTCACACTCTAGTAGCCTCTTATTGGTTATGTTATCAAATATCAAACATCTAAAAGGCCAATATAACAAAACTAAATTATTCTATAAAAAAGGCAATATAGACAATCCGTCACGTTTCAGTTTAATTCTTGAAAATTACAATTATGATATATAATCACTATCAAGGTCAGTCAAGAAACTTGTGGTTGATTTACACATTTGTGTTTTGAAACATGGATCATAGATTAACAACATAGTTATTTTCTCCATGATGTAACATTAAGTAATAGAATAATATTATGAAATAAGAAGTATTTATATAATAACAAGAAAACAAAATAATTCAAATTTATTATTAATATTTTTTTTACTCATTGTAATGAAATATATATAAAATAATCGAAACATATAAAATTACGTGATGATTTATATTCAATATTATATAATATAAATGTAGTATGGTATAAATAAAAATATATTCCTTATAAATTCTAATAATATTTCATATAAATACTATCAAATAATAATTTCAATAATTTCATAATAATCATTTCATATAAATATATATTATATTTATAAACTTAATGACTATATATATTTATTATTATAAATTAATGTAACCCATAAAATAAAGCATTTTTAAACATGCATAACTTCGATATTATTTATATTCTTAATATTAAAATTGTGATTTTTGAAATCTATTCACCAAATTTTATCAATTTGGGAAAAAACTTTCAAAGTTATGTATATTATTAAAACTGAAATTCAACTTAATATAATTTTATAATATAATTCAAATGATATTCTTCTAAATAATAGAAGTCAACATTTAAATTTTTTATTTATTAGATTTTCATCTAGTAATATTTAGTTAGTGCCGAAATCAATCATTGTATAGAACGAAAAGTGTTTATTTGTTTTTTCTCTGAAAAATTGAAAATATGACTATGCCTAATAGAAATAATAAATCTATCCGATATATTTTCGATCTAATATAAAAAGATAAAAAAATAAATATCTTAAAATAATATATAGATATTTTCGTTTGAAAGATATAATATTAATGTGTAAAAATAAATACTTTCCGGTTATAACATAACCTCTTATGCTAAAAGAAAAAGACAAAAGTTTTTAAAGAATTAATTTCGAAAATAAAAATTTTATGTTTTAAAAAATTTACTTAAAAAAACAATAAATCTTTGAGTAACATATAATTTATCATTTAAATTTACATATTTGTTTCAGCGTATAGCTTATGTTATATATCGATAGGCAATTCTCTCATAATTTAAAAACAAAATCTATTCGTTGGTGTTTCTTTTTTTGCTTTACGTAGTTTTGCTGTAGTAAAGAAGTTGCGTAAGCAAAAAAGCAAAAAAAGAAACACTACCGAAAATTGTTAAAACTTATTTGCGTATTATGATTATAATATTAAAAATGGATCAATTATTGCCGTTTTCAATGATAAAACATTTAATTAAATTAAATCAAAGTGGTGATTCAAAGAGTTTTCTGTTACTTATAAACTTGTAAAGAAGAATAAATCAAATATTAATTCAAAATCTATTTTACTATAATAACTTATATTTGTAATGTAAATAAAATATATAAAAATTAACAAATCTTTTTTTCTAAATATTTCAAGTACTCTTTAAATACACTTTTAGTATATAGAAGATTATTGTTATAAAATTGTAATATAATCTCGTATATGAAAGATTAAAATTAAATTTTGTTTAAGTAAGAAATTTAAAATTAAATTTCGAAATTTTAAAAAATTTTGTTTTTAATGAAATTTTTACATTATTTTTACATACATTTGAATTATTTATTAAAATATTTAAATCATTTCATAAATTAAATATAAATTTTGTGAATTTGGATGAAATTTTTAAAGAAAATAATTATAAAATTATTAAAATTTAAAATTTTGAAGCATTTGATGTAAAATAAATTGATAAATAATAAAAAATAATAATTATACATTTTAATAATATTAATTTTAAAATAAAATTTTAAAATAATAATTTTAATTAAAAATTATTACATTTAATTTTAAAACATTTTTTTTTAAATGTTTTTCATATTATAAAATCATTTATTCACAATAAATGCACAAAATTTTATCATAATTTTCTATTCTTGTTTTTTAAATTATAATAAAAAGAGAGAATTAACATTACAATAACAACATATAACGAGTTGAAGCAACAATCTATTGCTTGATGGAATAATGGAAGCAATTCCAGATGAAATACGAAATATGAAATTATGTAATCAATTTGTTTATAAAATTAGATTTTTGAAAATATTAAAATCTGATTCAATAATAATTGAAAAAAGTAATTGATCAAACATATAATATATGTATGATTATACATATTGTAAAAGGAAATAATTTCTATGTTAAATGATGCAAATAATTTAAAGAATCGTAGAAATTTAACTAATTAGTTTAAAAATGATAATATATGAAGAGAAAATTGATTTAAAAAAATATAAGTTTTTTATTAATTTAATTAAAAATAGAAAATATATAAATATCAATTATTATTAAATTATATTATATAAGCAATTTTCTTATTAATAAAAATCATTAAATTTATATAAGTTAAAGATCTAAATTTTTGAACAAGAAACTGAAAAACAGAAAATGGAATTGATTGCATGTGTAATAAATAGTGCATGGAAAAATAAAAAAAATGAAAAAAGTTTTAAATATGTATAATTTTGCAGCACATGCTACTTTTGAAATAAATTTGGAAATATTTCACAATTTCTATCTACTGCTTATAAGTAAATATTTTCTTAATCCATTATTTATAATAATGGAAATAAAATAATAAAATATTTATAAAGTATATGTAATTAATTACATATGACATATTAAAATGCATATATTTTAATTTTAATTATATAATATTATTATAAAGATATAATTTACTGAAAGTTTCTAACATTTGTTTTGTATTTTATTTTTCATTCAATGTACAAAATTTTACTTATTAAAAAAGTAAATAAATAACATAAATATGATATATATATTTCTATTTATTTATTTTTTGAATATATGTGAATAATTTCCAATAAAAAAAACATGAAACAAAAATTAAACAAAGTTAAAAAACAATAAATCTAATATATTTATTGAAAAATTTAAAAAACAAAAATATTTTATTTCAAATTTCAAATTTATAGATTTTTTTATAAAATTATTATTCTATAAAATAAATTAATATTGATATCTCATATACATTCCAATATGTAATATTTTTCAAACGAGTTATCAATCTTTTAATTATAGATTTACAATAGTTTAGAAGAAAATTAATATTGATTCCATAATACGGATTAAAAATAACAAGTGAAATAAATATGACATGATAATGAAAATTATTAAAAATTATTATCCACATACATTATAAAAACAAAAGTAAAAAGAAATCTAGTTCATTATATACAAATGAAGTAATATTGTATTTATAATATTAAAAACACTATATGTTACTAAAAGCTAGAGATGTATAGTATATTTTTACTTAAAAAAAATATAAAATATAAAGTGACATTAAAATATTTTTAAATTAATATGTATAAAGCTAATTTTATAATATAATTTAAATGGGATATTTAAAAAATAGAAATCAATAAATATACATTATAAATTTACATTAAATTTTTATCTAGTAATATTTAGTTAGTGTCAAAATCGATCACAGTATAGAACGAAGGGCGCTGTTTCTTGTTGTCGTTTCTCTCAAAACCTGAAAACATGGCTGAGGTATGATGTGATAAATATATCCAATAAAATCTTTTTCATCTAGCATAAAAAAATAGAAATAAATATCTTAGAATAAGATATATGTATTTTTTTATTTGAAAGATATAATATTAATACGTAAAATATTTTATATTTTAAAATAAATATTTTCGTAACATAACCTCTTATATATTCATAATTTTCAGGCAGAAGAAACTCAAAAGAAAAAGAGGACTTTCCGAAAGTTTACCTTTCGGGGAGTTGATCTCGATCAACTTCTTGATATGCCAAAGTAAGATTTTGTATTTCATAAAATATATATATTTTTATTTTTTAATTATTATTTACATATTTACTCCAGTGAACAGCTTATGGTTTTAATGCATGCCCGTGCTCGAAGACGATTTTCTCATGGTTTAAAAAGAAAATCCATGGCTTTGGTAAAAAAGTTACGTAAAGCGAAAAAGGAAACACCACCGAATGAAAAACCAGAAATTGTTAAAACTCATTTACGTAATATGATTATTGTACCAGAAATGGTAGGTTCAATTGTTGGTGTTTATAATGGTAAAACATTTAATCAAGTTGAAATTAAACCCGAAATGATCGGTCATTATTTGGGAGAATTTTCTGTTACTTATAAACCTGTAAAGCATGGTAGACCAGGTATTGGTGCTACTCATTCGTCAAGATTTATTCCATTAAAGTAATTTATATTTGTAATATGAATAAACTGTATAAAAAATAATAAATCTTTTTTTAAATATTCTAAATATCCTTAAAATATATATATATAAAAATATATAAGACTTAAAATTGTAATATTATCAAAATATATATACATATAGTAAATGTATATATATATATGTATATATCTTCAGTTATAAACTTTGTTATTGAATAATTTTTACATTATATCTTTCTCTTGTTAAAATATTTAAATCATTTCATATAAATAATATAAATTAATAAGGATAAATTATGATCAATTGAAAGTTAATTTTTTAATTGTTATACATTATCATATATTACATACATACGTATATATACACATACACACAGATTCTTCATAAAAAATATAATAAAAAATTTTTTTTTAAATTATTTATTTAGTCCATATTGTTTAATCCATATATTTTATTATTAATTAATTCATATATTTCATAGAATTATTAATATTAATTAATCGTTTTTCTAGTGTAAGAAATATATCGATGAACTGTTCTAGAAATGTTATACTCTATGGCGTATTATACTTCATATACTTTGTAAATCTAACCTAGTGTAATACACGTGTTTTACGGAAAATTTACAATTCAATTAAAAAGCAAGAAAAAGAAGATACGTTTATATTTAAAAAGTCATGTTAAAATTAAAATAATTCTAATAATTTTTAAATATAATAATATTACAAAAATGTCACGAATTGCTGATACAAGGGAAATTATAGTGACTAGTGACACTAATAATGAACATTGGAATGCTGCCGTGTGGGATCATCGGACAGGTTCTATTTTAT